AATGTCCACATAGTGAAAGATGCAGACAATATCCTTTAAATTCTTAGCAGTAACATGATGCTGACGTTCCGGTAACTGAAACTAACCCTTTCTGTTTATGATCCCCATCACAATCAATGGGGATGTCATCAATGCAGTCAGAGGACTCTAGTGAGTTATTTGTCTCATCCTAAGGTATGTAGGTATGGCTGTTAGTTATGGCACAGGACCTTGTGTAAACCTCTGTCCCTCTGGAGTGAGCTGAAGGCCAAGTAGAATATTCTAGCACATCATCAATGGCTCTCACACCACTGCTTAAGCAACTGAATCAAGTCCTATGGACAATGATGATTAGATCTCCACTGACCGTTTTGGAAGTTGGGACACTTATCTGGGGGATACCTATGTGTGATTGAGATTAGTCTCAGGAGAGTAGATCAGAGTACTTAGTTTGGTGCCCCTGTTTTTGCCTGTATAGCAGGAAGAAGAACCCTCAAAGCTCAGTCCAGAAAACTTCACGCTGATTTGTTCATTTTGTTCACCAGGTGTTGACAGTGGGACTGGCGGAAAGTAATCTTTCCATAACTTTGTTGGATGAAGTTGCCTCCGTTATGGAGCTGTCCTCTGTATAAAAATGTGTTCCAACATATAAATGCTATCACTAATTTGTATTTCTAATAGTGCATTGTTCTTTAATTCTTGGTTTGCCAGGAGACTTGCTAAATCCACGTTACTCTTGATCCCCCTTTTTGGAGTGCACTACATTGTATTTGCATTTTTCCCAGAAAGCACTGGTTTGGAAGCTCGCCTCTATATTGAGTTGGGTTTGGGTTCTTTTCAGGTAAGCTGAACAAAATGTTTATCAGTCCTAAGAGGTTTAGGCTGAAACACCACAGTCTCAGGAGTTTTACATTTTAGGTTGTTTATTAGAGCAGGTGTTAATAATGTGTGTAAATTCAACACACACATTCCATCTTACTCCTTTGCAAGCTCTTTCTGTTGTTTGTTCCCTTATTATTTGAAATCTCACACTAGTTTTGAGTTCTGACTCACAGTTCATATTAATAATAATAAAAAAATAAAAATCTACCCTTATAGAATAACAATGACTATCATGAAGACTAGTCTATGCATTAAGGTGAACTGATTGCAACAAATTCCATATGTAATAAAGGTGACGATAAGAGGATTGAAAAATAAGGATAATGTATAACAACCTGTTCTGCCCTTACCTTTTAGCAGTAGTAAACCCATGTTAACACTTCTTTGTTTCTTTTATTTTGCTATACCACTGTTCAGAACAATATCTTGGCTTTTGGAGGGCAAGGGCATGGGTATGGAACGCGTTATAATAAATATCTGAGATCTTTCTCCTTTCCCTTTCCCCTGTACCCCACAACAGCTTGTCCACGTTGATATGCGTTGAAAATGATCCATCTTCCATGCTTACCTCTCAACCACGGCCAGACTCTGTTTAGGAAAATAGTTACCAAAGCTGTGTCATGGACCATGTCGACATTTTAACAACATAGAGAAGCAAAGGGCAGTATTCAGGGCTGTGCCTTGCTCAGTTTACTAATACAGATAGAGTCCAGGACTGCCCAGTGTTTGCCTGTGTTAGCACTGTCTATGAAATGGCTTGACTCCTGGCTGACTAACACTCCTCCAAACAATGTCTGACTGTACTTCGGGGTGAATATGAACCCAAGACCTTTCTCAATACGTTGTTTGAACACAGCCATCATCTTGTGAGTGAAAGAAGATAGTCTAGCCATAAAGATGTAAAACAAGAAGAGGTCCTCACTCAGTTTACTCACTACTGTAACTAGAAAAATAAAGAGATGCCTACTACCTTATCTGAGGAAGAACTTGTTTGCAGGATACAGTAAACAGTAAGTTAGTCCTTAGTGTCTCCATACAAGGGCAATAATATACAGAGTGTTGCTAGTCTATTGAGGAATTCAATCGTATTACGAAAACCCTATAAATAGTACCACATCACCTAAATTCCAATGAAACAACAGAAAATATGTATTTTTACTGTCTTACTCAAATTCTGAATGAAACTTCATGCCTTTCTCTGATTCTACACTTTAAATTCTGATGGTTGACTTTTTTTTTCCCTACCCTCCCTGTCCTAGGGTTTTGTTGTTGCTCTTCTATATTGCTTCTCAAATGCAGAGGTGAGTAGCAAGTACATAAGATTATAAAAACCTTTTAAATTCATAGGCCTCTCTTGGGTTTTTTTGATGTTATGTTTTTTGTTTGTTTGTTTGTTTGTTTTTTCCTGTTTCCAGAACAGATCTGTGCTTTGATCTGCTCCTGAAACCATGAAATACCCATATCATTTTTTTTTTCCCTTGGTACCTTTGTTGACTTTATTTGTATTCATACAGTTCTGACAGAAGGGCACCAAATAAGCTTTATAGCAATGACCCTTTACAAGTGGTTGGTGACTTTCCTGTCAGGGGACTTTTTTTCTGCTTTATTTCTGATAGTTATCATGATGATGTCTCAGTGGAAAGCTTGTAACACTCCTTACTTTCTTGAGGTTTATTTTCTCCTGGTGAGTTGCTTCCCTTTCTCTTCGTCTTTCCTTTTCTCTTTGCCTTTGCCTTTCCCTCTCCCTTTCCCTTTTCCAGGATAATCTGTGCGTTTTCAGTAGTTTTGTTCACTTTCTTTCCTGTTTTTGTAACATTATTAGAATTTGGATCAATTCCCTGTAGTACACTTATAGAGAGCCTATCGTTTTAAAAACTAAGTTTGCTTGCACTTTCCCCAAAGGAGCAGAATGAAACAAAACCATGAGGAAAAGTAAGAACGCATCTTATCCTCAGAAAAGTGTGTAGGTTAGATGAGAGGAATGACCCACTAACAGTGCCTCAGTCTCCCCACTAGCTTCAACTGGACATTTCTCATAGAGGTGGTTAAATGTATGTGAGATTAATCCTACCCAAGGATGAATGATGCCTAAAATACATTTGTTACTTAGGAAAATAATTTATAATGGCCATTCTAGTTCTGTTCTGAGAGAGTGCCTTCAGGACTAACCGTAAATAGAGAATGCTCTACTTCCCACCTGCCTTCTGTCTGCAGAGACTCCTTGCCAACAGCCTTTTAATAGCTTGCATATTGTATCTTCCAACACACAAATATATTAGGTGTTAAAAAAGGGACAGGCAGAGAGTGATCTCCAGCCGCAAGATTAAGTGGTATGGGTTGGCTTGCATCCATACTGCTTAGGGATAACTGCTTCTGAGGCAGACTGGCCATTCATTACAACTTGGCAGTGGATCCTTCCTGCATCTGTTATGGTTCCCTGCAATCATAAAAAATAATTAAGATTTTCTGTGTATGTGTGTGTGTTTCTTCAGTTTTAAATATCTGCATCAATGTGAGAGACTCTGCTGATGCCAAGCAGGGTGGTATCTGTACGGGGTGAAACTGAGAGCTCGGATTGTATGTCCTGGTTTTAGGAATAAGGTACACAGGAATGTTGAAGGGCCTTGAGCTTGCTGGGATCGTACTGGGGTACGGGGCTGCTGGAGGAAGCCCCCTTTGATTAGTAGAGCCTCCAAAGCTCCAGAGGGTGTGTTCTGCCCATACTTGAAGTTGCACAGAGAGGCTGGCATGTCTGTGGGGTTAACAGAAAGAATAAAGGCAGAATAGGGACCACCTCAATGACAAATATTGCCAGTGACTTTCAGGGACCCCTGATGTCCAAGACGTAGTTCTGCATGTCCCACTCTCTGTACATTGCTGTAGAGCCCATACCTAGTAGGGGATTAGATAACAGAATTACTAGATGAATTCCTTAGTCCAAAGTACTTAAATCACGTTTGCCCATACGTACATCCCCTGTAAGAATTAATAGTTTCACTTAACAGTTTATTTCTGCATTTAATTTGGAGTGGGCTTGTGCTAATGGTGCTACAACTATAACACTGCCATAGATATTCGGTACTAATGACAGCCACAGAAGATGGCAGCTATGTGGTTAGAAGCATTTGACATATCTTCTTAGTTTAGGATGGCATTTGTAAATTACTTTGTGGACATTCAGGAGAGCCAAGCCCCTTGCAGGAGAACCAGATGGAGATGAAGCTGAATGTGAACAGAGGTAACAGGGCACCGTGAGCAATTAATCCACAGGACCAGACTGCTCCTGTGAATGGTGGCAAGAACTGGGTGCTTCCTGCACCTGCTTGCTCTCCCTCTGCTACAGCTTTGATGGTGAGATGATTTATATAGGGCAACAGAACCTACTTTCCCATTGTCCCCTCACCCCAGTCCCAGTAGTGTCAATAGCAGGCCGTGGACCTCCAGGGTTGTTCAACCTACCTCTTAGTTGTGTGTCAGATGGTAAGAAAATCAGTTTTGCCTATGCTTTTGAGGATCCCTGAGACCTCTTGCAAATGTGATATGTATTCAAGTTGATTCAGCAAGTAAGGGATCTTTAAAAGAGATTTCATTCTGGATAAACTGAAAGCCTGAAGAAGGACCCTTATAGTACATAGCAGGTCACAGCCAGGAGGCACAGAAGATTCAGTATGAGAAAAATAGAAATGATACAAAAAGGTAGAAATATTTAAGAAGCAGAACTACAAAAATAAATAAAGAAACTGCAGTCAAAAGCTTCCTCATCATCCTCTAAATTTTGGAAATTAAGTGTGTTTATTTTCCAAATTGAATAGATACTTAGTTTAAGTTCTAAAAATGTAGTAAGGCTTAATCCTGATTTATTTGGGTGCCTTTCTGCATCTGGGCTAAGTAGTCAGGCAGACATTTTGACATATTTTACCTTCAGAGCCCAGTAAATCTTATTTTCTGATTCTTTGTTTTTAATTCCCTTTTATATAGGTCCAAAGTGAACTGAAGAAGCAACTGTGCAAATGGCAGTATCAAGAATACCTGAACTTCACACACAAGCACAGGACTTTTTCCAGAGAAAACAGTCCAGTCAACTATGTCACTCAGTTATCACTGCTTGAAAAAATCAGTCCAAAAAGGAAAATATCTGTGTACCAGAATGGTGTAACTTCTGTCTGAGCTTCTCAAGCAGGATGAGTTGCTGACATGTTGTAACATACTACACCAGCTTGGATCCTTCATGGCTTTCCATAGTGTCAAGAGCCTTCTGCGAATTTCTTGTCCTCAATGTGAGCGGCTTTTCTCACCTGGGACAGATCAGTATCACAACCCTGGTTCTCTCTCTCCTTAAGCGCATAAAATCCATGTGTTTTGTTGTGAAAATCCAGACTTCGAGCTAGTGTGAATCAAGGGGTTAGCACAAAAAAAAAAAAAAAAAAAGAAGAAGAAGTACATTAATTCCTCCTAGGCCCAGAATGTTAGAATGTTTGTCATGTCTTTGTTAGTGTTTCCTGAAATTTCCAGTTTTCAAGAGCACTATTCCTAATCTTCAATTTAAACAGTTATCTGGTGGCAAAGGTTTGCCATAATAATTAGTGATGTTTTACTAGCTGTTTTGAGACAACTTGAGCTGATTTAATGGGAATTACACACAGAAACTTCCCAAGCACCTACCTATGGAGTAGCAACCTCCTTTAAAAGGAATCTCAAGGTGTCTCAAAAGTGACACAAAAAAAGAATGAGTTACATTGTCTGCTTAGTTTTTTCTTCCATGCTTGTTGAACAGAGAGATTAAATTAGGCCAGAGGACCTCAAGCCCTTTCTTGTCTGTGGGAAAACATGGAGTGGCTGAACATTAGGCAGATTATGTGTGTATAGAGGAAGAACACAGAGCAAACCCAATGCAATATGCCAGCTGGACTACCTTGAGCTCAGAGTAACTTACAGACCTAGTCTTAGTGCCCAGATACTGGTCCTTGTGTAGCTGGAACAGACCTTCTGCCACCATAAACTGGAAGCCTGGCTGGCTTCATCAATGAAATACCCAATTAAACTGCTTTGTGTCTTTTCTGAGACCTCCCTTTGAGGACTAATCTTCTGATTGCTGTGATTATCTCAGTTATGCCCATCAATTCTCAGCTCATCACTCGACTCAATGATGTTTCTGGGGTCAGAATTATTAACAGACCAGTGTGGTCTAGTGAAGCAAGTATGGTCTAGTAAAACAGAGCAATCCAATGTTGTGCTTGCATCACTTCTTTGGGTGACCTTCCTCTTTCTTCAGGACTGAGTTGAACTCTACCTCAAACTCTCCAAAAGTAAAGAAAGGGCACACAAGGTACACCAGACATAGTTATAGTTCCTTTTAAGATAGGACCATTCCCAGGAGAACCTGCATCCAGACTTGAAAGCACTGCTAGAGACCATGGCCATTCGAACACGTCGGCTTTCTGTGAACTGCAATATCAGTTTAGCTTTAAAAAGTAGTGCTCCAGTCCCTCATTTTGCTCTACTCTTTGTTTATTATTTAGGCCAGGAGTCATTTGACTTTGTGGAAACCTCTTTGTTGATTTTAGGTGCTTCATCTCTACTTCTATTATTAGAGCAGAAATGAATTGTCCAGATTTTTATAAATATGATTCAGATCAGGCCTTTCTTAATTAGGCATTTAACCCAATTATTAGAGCAGAAATGAATTGTCCAGATTTCTATAAATATGATTCAGATCAGACCTTTGTTAATTAGGCATTTAACCCGTCTGTCCCAATGAATCAGATGTCCTCTATGAGATGTCATTTTGTCTATTCTGACCTCTTTATCAGTTTTTCTTGTAAAAGTAACCTTTTTTCCTGTGTTGTTTAGGTTTGTTGCCTGCAATAGTGATGTGAATACATTTGTATGATGTACATCTATAAAATTCAAGTGATAATTACAGCTATTGTGAGTTTGTAAATTTTAATTATGTCAGTTTGGATATTTCATTTGAGATTTTATTAAAAAAGAACAGTCCTAATTGTGTTTACTATGGGATAGTTTTGAAGACATCTTCCTTTATTACTGGTAAGCTTCTTTACTGGACCAAGGCTCCAGAAGGAGAAATGATGGCAAAAAAGGTGATAGGTCCCAGTACACTATGAAGGATCTTTCCATCAGTCATTCAGTGTTCAGTCTCCTCATAAAAATTCAACAGCTCTAGCAATCCCACCATTCCTGCCAGACCCCATAACCTAGTTTGTACCCATATACCATCAAGTTGCACATTCAGCTTGCATTAGCTCCCCAGATATCCCCTTTTGCCTCAAGCTCTTTCCAGTCACCCTCACAACTCATCTCATAGAGATCCAACCCCACGCCTCAAAAGGTCTCCAGCAACCTCAGCAAAACACCAGCCACCTGCTCTGCCTATCCTTTGTCCGAAATGTCCGTGCATCCCTCCCAATGCTATTACCATTTCCAAGCCTTTTACTTTTCAAATATTTTGGATCAGGATGTGTAAGCCATAAGCTGGAATCTAGGGATATATGAAGATATTCTGCATATATACAAAGCCACTATTTACATAATTTCTATAAAGGGCACACTTGGAACAAACTTGTTAATCAGGTTAATAATCCTGGGGATTGCTAAAGTTTCTTGAATAAAGGGGTTTTTTGGGCTGTGAAAGGATGCTGATCCCTTCTCGACGGCACATCTGAGGACATGATGGTGTGTGTAGGAGCAGGGAACACTTGAGGGATACACTGCTTCATAGCAGGCCTGCGAAGGTACCAAAGGGATTGTTGGAAGCGGCGTCTAGAAGCGCCGTGCGGTCTGCGTGGAGGCACTGCCATCTCGTGGTACGTGGCGTGTGCTGGGCACGCTGCTGGCCTGTCTGGATGTGCGCAGTTGAGAAAGCTAAGCAGTGCTCCGAAACATTGCCCTCGCTCACAACCAGTATGTCTAATGTGAACCTGAGATATGCCCTTTCCTGAGTGAAATTTTAATGATTAGCAAAGGACAGCTGCAATAGAGCATTAATTTATACCAGCTAGGAAAAGCTGCTTTCTCTTCCTCTAATCCCCTGGCATCTTTCACACAGTTTAACTCTTCAAGTATTATTTTTAAATCCCTTTACAAACTACATGACAACCTGGTAAGACTAAAAACAGCAGTTTCAGCTGTTTTTCTTGGTGTTGCAGCAAAGACAGGTTGTTAAGGTAACTGAAATTTCTCACCAAGAGTAGATTTTTAACTCCTACAGTATCAGCATATTTTTTTCAGAAAGCTTGATGGTGTGGACTCCAGATTAAAAGAAATCCTTCCAGCAGGCAGCTTTACCTGTTCTGCCAATACTGATCTTCCCCAAGGTTGCCTAATCCACCCAGAGCTGGATTTTCAGAGCAATGCAGAGGGATGGTAGAAAATTGGGAAAAAAAAAAAAAAAAAAAAAACAGGCCTGAAAAACATGAAAGATTTCAGTGCATCTCAAACTAAATGAAGAAATAATTAATCAATTTAAAAGTGTGTTGCATGACAGAGAATCATCTTCAGGAAAAATTAAATGCTGTGATAAGAAATATCCAATACGATACTCTTTCTGTAAAGCAAAGGTGGTGTTCAGCCCACAGGTTATGATAGCTAAATTTAGGCATCTCTGTGTTGCAACCTATATATGATTTGGATGTCTAAGCCAGTGAAAATATTAGCAGTACAGTTAGTGAAATCCATGAGCCACTCAGCTCTCCCTACATTTGGCCAACTGTATAGCTATCTAAACATCACTGGCTATAGATCTGGATTTGGGTTCTGTTGTTTAACACAGGTAACCAATGCCATTTGAGATGCCTTGGGGTAACGAGGACATCTGCACTACCCTGGAGATATGATTCAGATTTTTGGACACTTATACTTTACTGGAAGAGCAGCTGGAGTCCAGGCAGGACACCGCACAGCTCCCAAAATCACACTAGCTGCTTGCATTTGAGCATCCAATTCCTTCTTTTGGTGTCTATTATTGGTAATCAAAGCTTGGGCACCTAGTCCATGTGTACATGCCCTCCTGTTCCCTCACTCATACTCCATGAGATAAACTCCACCCTACAACATATTAAAGGAGGGTGACAGCTTGATTTCTTTGTATTCAGACTACCTGTGTCATTGCATCACAAGCATGTTATGACTTTCTTTTCATCTGCTAAACTGCTGTGAAGAAATGACTCCTCTCCAACAAACTCAATCTCAAGTCAAGTTGTGTGGAGTGGGCAAAGTTGATTGAATCCACATCCAAGATTAAAAACTGAATTCTGAAGAGCCTATCCCAACAATGGATGAGTGACTAAAGCATGAATTGCAGAGATGGGTCCAATTTTTTTGGAAAACCAGTGTTTACTGATTGCTCAGCTACTGGAATAGGCTACAGAAACTGCCAGATACAGCTTGATGGCTGTGCCCCACTCGACAGAAGTTGCCAGAAATAGTCTTTAGTAAAGTCAGAGACCTAACCTATAAGTCTTGATGATGTAGAGTTAATTAAAAAGTGCCTTAAAATAAATTTAAACTAGAGATAGGAAGAAATAAAAAAAAATAAAGACTTTTTTAATATCTGAGTGAGAATTTTTCAGTTTCAGAAAATACAGCTGGATTTGAGGCACTAGTCTCCTTGGTATGTTGACAGACCTAGTAAATGAGGTTTTCCTGGTGTCTGTTTCTTGGAGAAAATGTGCTATAGTGTGGTATTGTTCCTTTAATATTGTGGATATTTACCATAGGACTTTTAGAGTGAGCTGAAATACTTTTGGAGGTGCCTTTTCTTTCTCTGTGTCTTAATTTTAAAAGGGGCCTAAAAAATATCACTTAAATGTAACCTTTAGAAATGAAGCCTTTTCCAGATTCCTTGTTCCAGGTTTGCTAATCTCCCTGCTTAGTAAGATAGTGACAGACACGATCCTTCTGCAAATGGTAGAAAGGGGGGACACATCCTGGGCTGCATCATCCTGCACTTAAAAGAAGGGGCTGGACCTGCTTCAGATCACCTAGTAAATCCATGTAATTGATTACCAGAGGGTATTTACAATTATTTGAAATATAGCAAAAATGAAAATCCATATATCTGCCCTGCCACCCTCAACTCCCAGCCTGCTCATGGGCCCAAGACCCCATTTTAGCCCAGGCCCTGCCTCAGCAATGCTGTAGGATTCTGA